CCTCCATGTCTCCCAGTGCCTCAAGTGTCTCAATGTCCCCATGTCTCCAAGCTAGTGTCCCTAGTGTCTGTGGCCCTGGTGTCTCCTTGTCCCCATGTCTCCCAGTGCCCCCATGTCTCAATGTCCCCATGTCCCCCAGCCAGTGTCTCTAGTGTCTGTGTCCTTGGTGTCTGTGTCCCCATGTCTTCAAGTGTCCCCTATTTTCCTAGTGTCCCCTTACGTCCCAGCTCGAGTCCCCTAGTCTCCCAGTGTCACTGGTGTCTCCGTGTCCCTAGGTCTCCCCGTGTCCCCAGGTCTTCCTGTCTTCCTAGTGACATGGGGACCCTGGGATACATGGGGACACAGGGAGACATGGGGCATTGAGACACTGTGATACATAGGATCACTGGGAGACCTCGGGACACGACACTAGGGGACACGGGGAGACATGGGGCACTGAGACACTGATACATAGGAACACTGAGACCTGGAGTAATCGACACATGGGGGCACTGGGAGACATGGGGCCACTGGGAGGAATCCATCTATACAGCAAAATCAAACTAAGTCGTTTTTTTGGTGATTTTACAGCATTTGCTCTTATGTCACTCCTTGTGATTTACATCATGTGATGTCACCCATACATATTTAATTATGCAAATTAGCAAGGCCGGTATGTTTTTCCAAGAAAGGTGGCAACCCTAACTACTTTTCACATACTCTTACTTAAGTATGGAAACTTAAGAGGGATGTATGGGAACAAAACTTGTGTGGACTGGCTGACAATGAATATAGTTAAAGGGACACTAGAGTCACCAGAACAACTACAGCTTATTGGATTTGTTCTGGTGAGTAGAATCATTACCGTCAGGCTTTTTGCTGTAAACACTGTCTTTTCAGAGAAAATGCAGTCTTTACATTACAGCCTAGTGATAGCCCACTGGCCACTCCTTAGATGGCTGTTAGAGGTTCTTCCTGGGCCATGGCTGCCTAAAATGCATCCAAACATTCAGTGTCTCCTCCCTCTGCATGCAGACACTTAACTTTCCTCATAGAGATTCATTGATTCAATTCATCTCCATGAGGAGATGCTGATTGGCCAGGGCTGTGTTTGAATCATGCTGGCTCTGACCCTGATCTGTCTCTTTGTCAGTCTCAGCCAATCCTATGGGGAAGCACTGTGATTGGATTAGGCCACCACTTCTAATGATGTCAGCAAACTGCTTGTTTTTCTGAGTCTAACAGCATGCAGAGTTACAGCTTCAGGCTTGAATACAGTAAGATTTTGCCATATTTATGGAGGCATGAGGGGCCCAGGGGGCTAGATGGTGGTTTTAACACTATAGGGTCATGAATTCATGTTTGTGTTCCTGACCCTATAGTGATCTTTTAAGGTAATGCTGACTTTGGTCTCTCTAACACTGTGGCATGTTCCCTTTCTTCTACACTCACTACATACAGCTTTTCTCTGTCCCAGACTATATACCAGGAGCTTCTGCCTGCTAGTAAGAAGGTAAGGAGACAAGTGGACCAGCGAGTGCTAGGGGACAGTCCTTCGAAAGCGTTGAGCGAGCGCATCATTAGATGCATTTATGCCAAGCTTAGGGTGCTGTCTGCATAGTATGCCCTTAATTGGCCAGCTGCATGATTGGCAGGCAGCCTGACATGCATTCATACTAGGCTGGCCTTCTAATTCTTTGGGCAGACATATCCTCTTTTTGGGCATGTTCGACCCTTTTGGCAGGTTACGTGATTTGTGTCAGTGGCACACCCTTTTACCGTGCCCATTGACTTCTTGCTTGACTGGACACTGCTGTTAGGGGTTATGGATTTACTTGAAAGATGAAAACATAAATTAGTGAGAGATTAGCCCAGGGTATGTGTTTTCTTATAGCTGATGTTTTCTTTCTCTCCAGCCCCATCTCCATCAGATACATGACGCTTGGGAGTGTTTTACTGTTTTTGGTCGATATGATTCTGTAATTAGGCCTGTCATAATTGTCAGCACCAGGCCCACTGGGCTCTTAATCTGGCCCTGGGTACAGGGCCGTCTTTAATTCTGATTGGACCCTGGGCAAGCATTAACTTGGGCCCCCTGACTACATATAGATACACACAAATACAAAACCTGACACACATGCAGATACACACTGACCGCATATAGATACACACAAGAACATACAGATACACACAGACTACATATAGAACACTGACACACAGATAGACACAAACACAGATACACAACCTGACAAACATGCAGATACACAGATACAAACACTGATACATGCAGATACAAAGGTACACACACTGACTACATATAGATACACCGACACACACACTGACACACATACAGACACACAGATACACAGATACACAACCTGACACACATGCAGATATACATATACAAACACGGACACATACAGATACACACTGACTATATATAGATACACACACAAACACAAACGGACAACATACAGATACAAAGGCACATTCTGACAGATGTACTGACACAGAGACACACACAGACAGCCATACTGAAACACACATACACACAGACATATAGAACCACATGGACACTGACAGACTCACACATAGACATACTGACACACTGACAGACATACAGACATTATGGCACACATACACACAGACAGACATACTGAAACACACATACACACAGACACTGACAGACGTACACACATACAGACATTTTGACACTAACAGACAGCCATACTGAAACACACATACACACATACATACTGAACCACACAGACACTGACCGACTCACACACACACAGACATACTGACACACTGACAGACATACTGGCACAAATACACACAGACGGACATACTGAAACACACATAAACACAGACACTGACAGACATATTGACAAACACAGACATACAGAACCACACATACACTGACAGACTCACACACACAGACATACTGACACACTGACAGACATACTGGCACACTGACAGACAGACATACATACATACTCACACACACACACACAGACACTCATGCAAAATTTGATAACCACCCTCCAGTTTCTTACCTTTTCCTGGGGTCCAGTGGGCTGGCTGGGGTGGCTGGGAGTTAAGCTCTCCCGGCCTGGCCCCCTCCGGAACAGCTCCTTCCTCCCGCGCGGCTCTTGTTTCTGTGGGAGGAAGTGACGCGCGGCTGTCACTTCCTCCCAGTGCTGCCGAAAAAGCAAGGGCCCGGTCGCGCTGTTAAAGCGCCACAGCGCCCGACCGGGCCCTTGCTGTCACAGGCCCATCGGGTGGCCCTAAGTGCATGGGCCACCCGATGGGCCCGCATAGTTTGCGGGCAGAGGGCAAAAGGAGCAGCTGTCTTGGGTCCCCCAGCTGGGACAGGGCCCGGGGCAGCTGCCCCGTTTGCCCTGCGTTAAAGACGGCCCTGCCTGGGTATAATTCATGAGCCATACTGTATCACAACTGACTTTAATAGGCCATGAACTTTCTATGAGTCTTTCCTCACTTCCTGCAGTTACAATGATGCCTACAATGAAGTCAACCTTGAAATACAACACTGGCTGTTCTCATGTACCAAGTAGGTACCCATAGCTGTGAAACGCATCGTGTGTTATCAGCTATGCATTTTATTTTCATATTAATGAGAGCTAAAATGGGAAAAAGCTCTCAAGGAGTTTTGATCTGCCTTATCATCAAAGCAGTTAAATGTATCATCCAAGAATACACTGTTGGATTTAACATGACTATATTCATGCAAGCACCTTGTGTTTATTTTTTAATTCTGATGCTCATTGAAGTTTTTTTTTGTTTTGTTTTTTAAATGTTTATAGCTGTAATTCCAGTTACTCAACTTTTTGATTTAATGTATTACTGGCTGCTAGACCTTATGTCGCCTATTTATTTGTTTTACCAGTTTGTCACATTATGTACCCAGTACTCCGTTAAACACTTCTGGAATTTGTTCTTTTCTATCGCTTCTGTGTGTGACCTTCTTTGGAAATGTACCTTTTTATATTTTTTTATAATTCTTTATTTTTGATGTGCATGTTGAAGACAAAGCGTGAGACAGTGCACTTTGAAGACATTCATTGCACATACAATTAAGTGTATAGCAAAGTGTATAACAAAAATCAGCAATTTTTTATATATAAGGAATAGTGACAAGAGTAAGTACAGAACATCTGAGAGGATGCAATATTTCAAAAGTATGAAGCCGACAGGAGTATCTATACATAAGTAGCAGAGGTTATAAAATTGGCTTTTGTTGACTAGGCATGTATGTCTGTACACAGATGTAGAAAAAACTTAATAGTAAACATAGCCTCTCAGATTTCAGGGAGAGTGACCAAGTTAAGGTGTAGTAACACAGGCTTATCAAATATATAAAACAAATTAAACATTGGTACTGTTGGGAAAATGGCAATTAATAAAGGCAAACAAACAGTGAGTCCTGCTTCATAATTAGGGTGGTAGCTGAAATAGAGGCATCATCTGGCATTCACCCGATACCGCAAGTAGGCTGTAAGAAGCAGTTCATCTCAGAGCTTGGCATGATGCTGCTGTGTGCCCATACGTAGTCCTGCAGGAGTAGCCGGTTCTCTTACTGAGGGATCTTGAAAGGTATGCTGAGTTGTGGTGCACCTCCCACCCTGGCTTTAAGAGGGGCCAGAGTTGTGATGCTAATGGTCCTTCTCCTTGTTTTGTCGAAAACCCGTGCTCTAAGGAGATTTGGCTTTTGTGGAGCTCCCCGTTTGCATAGGTAGTGAGAAGAACGCACCTTCAGAGAGGCCCCTGGCTTTAAGCATGGTCGGTGGACCTTAGCAGTGTCCTTACTCTGCAGTTCAGCAGGAGAGGTGTAGAAGGGAGGTCTGTGCTGTATGCGTTACAGATCTGGTCGAATTGAGCTTCAGAAATGCCCCCTCCATTGCCAGATTTCTGGGCCCTCCTGATTCTGTATAGGTTGAGGCGCCATTTTGGATTCGTCATGTGGTCGGCTCAACAAGAGCTGCCGCCGTAGCAGATAAGTAGGTGTCCCCAGCGGGGACCGGGATAAGCCTCATCGGTCCAAAGGGGGGGGGGGGGCTGCGGGGCTCTTGGATCGTAGCATGTCAAAGTGGTCCTTGTGCCTGGATTGGCCACCTCTCCCGGCTACCAGTTTGCCTCTTATGTTAGGCCACAGGGTCAGGCTGCGGTATTTCTTGTCAGATTGGTGTGGGACTTGTGTACAGAAGCTCTCATTCAATTCAGCAGTGAGTCACCTGCATACAGGGCTGTAAATATCTCGATTTTGGGCAGTGAGGGTTGAAATTAGGTTCATCTGTGTCAGAGAACTCAAAATAACACGTCCTGCCATCTTGGCTGCTAGGCCCTGCCCCCCGGAAATTTAAATTTTAGAAGACCTCCATGATGGGTGAAGCACAAAAAGCAATAGATTAAACATTTCAACAGAATTTAAAAAATCAAGCAAAAAAAAAGCACAGCAACACTTTGTGTCAGCAACGATAAGTTACATTTGATAAGTCTTCCCCGTCATATCTTTTGAGAATATGGGTGGATCATCTACCTCATGCACACATGAGATTAAGCACAACCTTTATGGAAAAAGGATTGGAGTTTGAAAACCTCTATACTGAAATGTGAGAGAAATAACACTGTAACCCAATACAGAACAGGCCATTCTACATTCCTTGTGGATGTTACCACTGGCTTCTGATAATATTGCACAAGTAATCTTTCCCATAGTCAGAAATAGAAACGCTCTTTCAAAAATAGTCTAGCTGTGATTATAACAGAATTGGATAGTCAACTTTTCTTGTCTACATTTTGCCAATCTGATTTGATTTGATAATCTTTGAGGTTTACTAAATAATCCTGAAAAACGTTGAATATCTCTTTGAGGACCGTTTGTAATCCCAGAGAAAACAAAAATGTTTGATTTGGGTAGCAGATATATCATTACTGTTGGCCAATGTATATTTATGCATACATTCAGAGAGGAATATTAATTATTTTTTCTTTTCTTGCTTGTACAGAATTGGAAATCAAATGATATATATGGAATACAAGGAAAATGAAACACCTGTGTAAATATACAACGTGTACATTCGCCCTACTACTACATTCATTGCAATCCCAAACAGTTATATTCCATGACTATTTCATTCGTGATAGATATTTGCCAATCTGGTTAAATATTATGAAGAGATCCTATGTAAGAGCCAACAATTCCTTGCAAAACCTGAATAAAATGCAATAAAGTATGTTGTAAATATGCACAAAACAATATGTCTATTGAACGAATATACGAATATGTCATTTTCAGCTTTACATCATGGATTTTAGAAATCAGTATAAAATGGAAAATGAATTTGTATGATGTGTATAAAGCACCATGGTAAAATAAGTTACCAATAGTTAAAATAGCAAAAATTAAAAGAAAATAACCGAATTAAGTGTGTAAGGGATGTGTTACGAAGACATAACAATCTACCATAACCAGTGACCTATTTTATAATAACAAATTTAAAGAGTGAATAACACATGTCCCAGCAGGATTCAGCAGAATACATGTATTATCTTTGTGGACTTATTATTACTTCAATTGGAACAGTCAGTCCTCTATATAACTCTCTATAATTTGTACTAAGTTTTTTCATGTGATGTTCTATTTTCTTTTCAATTTGTATTAAAGCTTTAGCAAACTTCATTAAAATCCAGAAATAGAAACAATTCATGACTATTTACTAAAATGAGAATTGTATGAAATTCAACGGTAACCTCCAATTTGATGCCAATGAAACCAAACTGGAAGCATAGCTTACTTAGAGAATGTTAGATTGGTAAAATTTACACTTACATTTGATAATATCGACTGTAATCAATTTTCATGATGTTGGCATCAGTCAGATAGTGATTCACATTATATGCAGAATATTTTAAATAAAATCTCATACTTACAAAAATACATCTGTATTTTGTTTAGAAATAAAAAAAACAAACAAGCAAGAAAAAAAGAGTAAAATAGACCATAATCTCATTTCAAACCACATTGAATGATACGATGAATCTATTTAGTTATCTTTAGTTGAATTGCAAATGTGCTTAAAGAGTGTGTCCTTTTTTTTTCCATTTAAGAAATAGTGCAGCCTTTAATAGAAATAGGCACTTTTATAAATTAACTTTCATACACCTGCTGGACAGTCGGTCTTATTACTGTCTAGTTGTTTTGCTTAGTAAAGCTAAACACAAGAGGCAGCTATTGTTCAGAGCACCTGCCTTGCAAAGACTTCTTATTGAGCTGCATTAGGAAGTCTGTGATTGGACAGTCACAGAAAATATGAGCCGGTGAAGAAGGGGTGGGCTTGCAAAGGCAGAAGACAAGATAACTGCAACTTTTGCAAGCTGTTTTAGATACACCAACAAAGAAAAAAATGCATTATTAAATGCACATATGTTTTCATTGGGGTATATCTACTAAAAAAAAATCCTTTTGTTTTATTTGGGAAGTGGAGTGTCTTTTAACCTCCACCTGCAAGTAGGCACTTTGCTAAGATTTGGAAATACTAGTTTATCAGTCCATATGGTTGATCCGTGCTTGCAAAACTGATCTTTGATCTTATTATGGTTTTGTTCATATCAGCCAGACAACAACATTTAAGAAAATAAATAATAAAAGTTGTCATCAGTGTAGTGAACCACATAGATATATAGTTTCATTTTAAGTGTATTTTTATATATATATATATATATATATATATTAAAATCAAAATAGTTAGAATAAAATTACATATATATATAATTTTTTTTAAATTATTTTTACTGTTTTTTTATTTATTTAAATTTTTTTTTTTTTATTCTTTATTTTTGAAAGGGCAAGTTTAAACACAAAAGCAGGCAGTGTCACAACAACAGCTGTATGCACAGTAGATGAAGACACAGTATAACACTGGTGTGACGAACTGTAGCAGGTATTGGCACAATTTTACATTTTATCTTAATTAATACAAGAGCTAGAAGTGAATATAGTTACATAGTTTCATAGCTGAAAAGAGACTTGCGTCCATCAAGTTCAGCCTACCTCACATTTGTTTTTTGCTGTTGATCCAAAAGAAGGCAAAAAAACCCAGTTTGAAGCACAAGCTAGGAAAAAAATTCCTTCTTGACCTCAGAATGGCAGTCAGATTTATCATTGGATCAAGCAGTTATTACCCTACATTGAAAGATTATATCCTTGAATATTCTGTTATTGCAAGTATGCATCTAGTAGCCGTCTGAACATCTGTATGGACTCTGATAAAACCACTTCTTCAGGCAGAGAATTCCCCATCCTGATTGTTCTTACAGTAAAAAAACCTTTCCTTTGCCTTAGACGAAATCTTCTTTCTTCCAGTCTAAACGCATGGCCTCGTGTCCTATGTAAAGTCCGGTTTGTGAATAGTTTTTCACACAATGGTTTGTATTGGCCCCGAATATATTTGTATAATGTTATCATATCCCCTCTCAGGCGACGTTTTTCTAAACTAAATAGGTTTAAATTTGTTAACCTTTCTTCATAGCTGATATGTTCCATTCCTTTTATTAATTTTGTAGCCCACCTCTGCACTTTTTCTAGTGCCATAATATCCTTCTTTACAACAGGTGCCCAAAATTGCACAGCATATTCAATATGTGGTCTTACCAGTGATTTATAAAAAGGCACAATTATATTCTCGTCTCGAGAATGAATGCCCTTTTTCATGCATGACAATACCTTACTGGCCTTCGCCACTGCTGATTGACATTGCATATTGTTGCATAGTTTGTTGTCTATGACAATTCCCAAGTCCTTTTCATGTGTTGTTATCCCTAATTCGCTTCCATTAAGGGTATACGTTGCTTGTGTATTCTTTACGCCGAAGTGCATAACTTTGCATTTTTCAACATTAAATTTCATCTGCCATTTGAGTGCCCAGTCCCCAGTCTATCTAAATCCCTCTGCAGCAAAGTAATATCTTGCTCACATTGTATTGTTTTACAAAGTTTGGTGTCATCTGCAAACACTGAAACATGACTTTCAATCCGGTCTTCAAGATCATTTATAAACATGTTAAATAGAAGGGGTCCCAGAACAGACCCCTGAGGGACACCACTTGCCACCTCTGTCCAGCTTGAAAATTTACCATTAATGACAACTCTTTGTACTCTGTTTTTAAGCCAATGTTCTACCCAAGAACAAGCATTTTCATCTAGACCGATTTCCTTGAGTTTGAACACTAATCTATTGTGTGGAACTGTATCAAATGCCTTGGCAAAATCCAAATAGATCACATCCACGGCAACACCCTGATCTATACTTCTACTTACTTCTTCGTAGAACGCATTCAAGTTAGTTTGACATGAACTGCTTCATAAAACCGTGCTGATTTTTGCTGATAACCATGTTCTTCTCAAGGAATTCTTGAATATTATCCCCTAATAACCTTTCAAATATTTTACCAGCCACAGAAGTTAAGCTCACAGGTCTATAATTTCCAGGCAAGGATTTTGAACCCTTTTTGAATATAGGAACCACATCTGCCTTCCTCCAATCCTCCGGAACACTTCCTGAAAGAAAAGAATCTTGAAAGATTAAAAACAGAGGTTCACTTATTTCTGCACTTAGTTCCTTAAGTACACGTGGATGGATACCGTCAGGCCCTGGAGCTTTGTTTATATTAACTTTCTTTAGTTGCTGCAGCACCTTGTCTTGAGTTAACCAATTACAATTATTCTGCAAGTTTTTAGTAGCAATCATTTGCACATCTATTGCCATGGGTTCTTCCTTAATATATACGGAGGAGAAATAGTTATTTAAAATTCCTGCCTTTTCCTGGTCTTCATTAATTAACACCCCCGTTTCAGTTTTTAGTGTACCTACACTTTCATTTTGTTTTTTTTTAGAATTTATGTACTTAAAAAATGCTTTGGGGTTGGTTTTGCTCTCTTCAGCTATCATTATTTCATTTTGAAGTTTAGCAAGTCTAATTGCCTTTTTGCACGCATTATTTGCATCCTTATATCTTTTATAAGATGCATCTAATTTGTCCGATTTAAATGCTTTAAATGCCCTTTTCTTAGTTGTAATCTCTTGTTTTACTTCTCTACTAAGCCACATTGGTTTTAATTTGTTTCTTTTATATTTATTTCCCAACGGTACATACTGAGAAATGTACCTTTTTAATGTTTGTTGGAAGATGATCCATTTAACCTCAGTGTTCTTTTCACTAAAGAGTTTATGCCAGTCAATATATTGTTAAGCTTCCCTTAACTTATTGAAATTGGCCTTTTTAAAATTATATGTTTTAGTATTCCCCATGTGCTTTTGTTTTTTTGAGTTTATTTCAAAGGACACTATATTGTGATCAGTATTTCCCAAGTGCTCACCTACTTGAATGTTGGTCAAAAGATCAACGTTGTTTGTTAAAACCAGGTCCAGACAAACATCTATTCTAGTTGGTGCTTGTACAAGTTGTGACATGAAGGTGTCATTTAACAAGTTTAAAAACCTAATTCCCTTTGCTGAGGCACTAGTCCCTCTGTCCCAATTTATATCTGGGTAATTAAAATATATATAACAGGTTAGGATATATTAGGTAGTGTAACTTTGCCTGTGCCGCTTCTTGGTGGCCGGTGAACCTACAAGGTCGTGCTATCAACTGTCCCTGTCCTCTTTAGCTTGGGGTAGGGTTGGGGACAAGCTCTAGGGATGTGTGTGCTATAGCGGCTAGAGGCAATAGTGGTATGTGACATAGTCTTATGGCTCCTTGACCCCGGAGTCTGGAGGGGGGGGAAGTATACCTTCCGCAAGGTAGATGTGTGGAGTGTGTGGCATTGGCGCCATGGGCTTAGTGACATCATAGTTATTATGGCTTAGTGATGTTAATATATCTAAAAATGAAAGATACAAATACAGAGTCCGAGCGTGTCACCCAAAGGAATCCCAAGTAACTCACAAAAACACCCGTGTGACAACCTCTCTTATCCACACTTAAAACACAATAGAAATATATACATACATAGTGGGTGGAGTATCTCGGTCCAGAGTAACAGATTGTAGTGTAAATATAAATATAAATGGAGTAGCTGTGAAAACACAATAGTAGACAGGAACCTAGTGCAATATCGTACAGTATAAAAATGACACAATATAAAACCAATATTGTTGTACTCACAAGGAGAGAGCCAGAAAGTTGTGGCTCAATCTAGGCACCCGTGGGATAATCAAAGGGATCCCACTCCCTTGGTATGTGTGGATGGTCCTCCGTTGTCTCCAATAAGGAATGTCCACATCAATTATTATGAAGAACTAAGTAACTTTTAATCATCAAACAAAAATATAAATATTTATTGTTGCTATTTTATTCATACTTTATATTTTTGTTTGATGAAAAAGACCCGGCAGGGTCGAAACGTCGATTGATTTTTTTGTACATCACAGATGATTTATTAAAGCACCAGTTTTCCTATTAACCAGAAGACCTGTGAGTGCATTTTTATTTTTATTTTTGTTTTTATATATATATATATATATATGTTAATTTATAAACTTTTTTTATTTTGTAACTTTTTTTTACTTTTTCACCAGCAGGGGGACTGCCTGTCAGTTCAGGCAGTCCCCCTGTTGGCAGCACTGTAGACACCTATTGGGGCCATGTGACCGCTCCTTTAGATCTTTTAGAGTGGTCACATGGCCCCTCCCTGAATTGGAGAGGGGGGACTGTCTGGACTGAGCCCAGACAGTCCCCCTCAGCAGAAGACCGATCAACGGTGGGGGAACGGCGGCAATCGGTAAGTACATGGGGAGGAAAATGGAGGCCCAGATATCGAGGCATTGTGTACTACCCATAGAGCGACTGGAAGTGATCACTATCGCTTCCAGCGCTCAAATTTACTGCGGACGTATAAGGTACGTCCGTAGTCCTCAAGGTTCTTAAGGGGTTCATCCAATACTTTTTTCAGTATGTGGCTAACAAAACGAGTTCTTTATAATTCAGATATTGAATACACAGTTCAATAAGGGCTTAAAATCACAAGTTCTATGCCACTAGCCAGGTTTTAAAAGTTACTCGCTCAGGGAGCGTGGCTGAGCGCTTCATCCGGATGCACGCATGTTGCTGAGCTCCCGAGGATTGAGCCCCGGGAAGGCGCTATTTTCAGCAGATCAGCCTGCAAAACAAAGGAGAATCCCTCACCATGTCCCAGACACTGAAGGCTAAAGCCAGCAAAGCCGATCAGGCTACCTTCTTCCTGGCCCGAGCCAACGAATCACTACTTAGAGACTCCGAATTTGTAGACTCTATTGCAAAAGGTCTATTGGAATACTTTGCCCTTAATTTCGGGGAGAGGTTTCGGAGACCACACTATGGTCAGCACACAAAGTTGTTGTTAGGGGGTTATTCATGCAGAGACCTGTGCACCTGAAGAAACGGCATTCCTCAGATCTTATGGACTGTTATAAACAATTAGCACTAGCCTCTTCCAAAAATAAGAGATTCCCTGCGCAAGATCTGCTTACAAAAATAAATTCCCTACACCAGCAAATTCAAAATTTGCAAGCTATAAAAACAGATGGGATGTTGCTAAAGCTGAAAGCGACTACATACCATACTGGAGGGAAGGCTACTACCACCTTAGTCAATCGCTTGCATGCCAAACTGGCACAATAATGCATCCCCTATATCCAAGGAGATCAGGGCAACAAATGCGCAGGCCCGCAAGATATTAGCCAGGAGTTTGCTAACCTTTATTCAAAACTATAGAATTTGAGACAAGTCACTGAACATTCATGATAGCAATGATATTAAGGCCTTTCTTAACTCAGCTCACCTCCCCCAGTTAACCACAGACCATATGGCTAGCTTGACGGGACCTATGACCATCACAGAAATAGATTCAGTCATCAAAGAACTACCCCTGGGGAAGGCACCAGGTGCAGATGGCTTCTCTAGCCTATACTATAAAAAGTTTTGGCACATATTGGCCCCTCATCTGCTCACCATATATAATGAGACTCTGACCTCGGGATCCTTACCTCCTGACATGCTTTTAGCTACCATAGTGACGCTGCCCAAACTGGACAAGTCCCCCGACCACTGCAAAAATTACTGTCCGATCTCATTGTTAAACACAGATGCAAAGATATACGCTAAAATACTGGCCAACAGGCTACTGGCTACTACCCCTACTAATCCACGATGACCAGACAGGGTTTGTTCAGGGTAGACAGGGCCTGGACAACAAAAGGGAGCTGTCACTGGTTCTTGATCAAATGAGGGGGTCCTTAGATGCAGAAAAGGAGTTTGACTGCCTCGTCTGGACCTTCCTACGGCAGGCTTTACTAGGTTACGGCTTTCCACATCAGTTAGTACAACAGATCTTTGCACTGTACTCCACACCCACCGCTCATGGTCTCACAAGCAGGGTTCCTATCCTCCCCATTTCGGGTTTCCAACGGTACTAGGCAGGGCTGGCGCTGGAACCACTCCTACAGCACATAAGGGCTCATCCACAAATACAGAGGTTCAAGATACTGGACCGACAAATAAAAATTTGCGGATGATATATTACTGTACATTTCTGATCCCTCAGAATCCCTACCGGCGCTAAATCAGCTCATCAAGTCATATGGGGCACTGTCCTATTACTCACTTAATACCAGCAAAACTCAGGCAATACCCATAGGTA